TTTATAACATCAATAAGTTGCACACTAAAATATTGATTTTTGACAAAAAAATAAATGTAATGTTTAATAATCATAATTGCAGTATTATTTATTTCTTACCTTTTCAAATCAATGTTTTCATTTTTTTATATTATTAACAAGTTGATATAATATTTATTAATATAAAAATATATTAAAAATTTTAAAATTCATAATTTAAATATGATAAAAATTATCAAATAAAATGCTCATATCTAATCATTTTATGCAATAAACTTCCAGAAGAGGTTTCCTATCCTCTAGATTTGGCTGTCCCAAAGTGTTATTATTACATTAACTTGGTTTATACTTCTATTAGAACAATCCTTGGCTACGTGTTCTTTCTAATAGCATAATGGACACTATACTAATACTTATTTTCTCATATTTTCACCACCAATGATTGGAGACTTTCCTCATCTGAGCCATTTGGGCGACCAACACTGTATTTACTCGGTTTACATTTACTGGTTGAGTGAACGGCATGGCTCCTGTGCCACTTTTTAGCGCATTTTCAACCGAACGAATAGTTTTAAATTCTTTCATTTAAATCAATTACGTGTTTAGAATAGTTTTTAATTGGTCTCATAACTTTTTTAATTTTTAATAACAAAATTGCCCAAAATATTATCATGCAGATCCTCTAATCTTTATAAAAGTATCAAAAGCAGAAAGAAACCTCATATTTCAATCGTTTTTCCTTTTCCTTTTTTTTAATCTAAAAAAATACCATTTATTTTTATTTTGGTATGCACGAATGATCAATTTGTTTAAGGCAAACAAGTACATCAATGTGATATATAAATTAAAAAATTTAAATCATTTATCATCCATCATTTGAAAGCATTATAGATTTGATGGTGGTGGTACAGTTGATGATGATGGTGATACTGGTGATGATGTTGATGATGATGAAGATGATGATTGGTTTTCTTTCAGTGCAACGAAATTAACAGCAAGAAAACCACCTAAAATCATCAATGCACCTAACCAATAACCTTCATCCGCAACAATACCTTTAAAAAATATGTCACCAATTAAAGCTAAAGGTATTGCCAGTGATAATCCCAATGTGACTACTAATGGAGAAGTCATGAGTATGGATAATAGCCAAAGATAATCAGACAAAAAAGTACCTATCAGTGCGTTAATTATAACCATTGTCCAAATTGTTCCGTTTGGAGGGAGTTGAAGTTTTTCAATTTCCAGAATATCAAGCAGAAAAAATCCTGGCCAAAGTAATATCACATTGAATAAACCAACAAATCCAAAAAATAATGGCATATCAACACGTGATTCATTCTGAATACGTAATTTTAACAAGACCGTGTAACACCCATAGAAAATTGCCCCGATTAAAGCAAGACTGTCACCAATTAAAGGTTTTATAGGTTGATCTTGTGGTGAACCAGCTGTATCTCTAGTAGAAATTAAAATCACTCCAATAACACTAATTAAATTTTATAAAAGTGTATGTTAAAAACCTATTTTCTTTTATTGATGTTAAATATCATTATCATTATTACCTAACACAGACTGCTACAAGTTTTATCAAAGAAAATTTTTCAATGCCAAAAAATGCTCCAATTACCAAGG